TAGTCCTCACCTGAGGACATATTTTTCCCCATTGATTTTAGGGAGAGTGGAAAAGAGAGGGAAAGATGGAGAGAAACATTGATGTGAGCGAAACACATCAATTGGTTGCCTCCTGCATGAGCCCTGACCAGGGCCTGGTCCGGGGAGAAGCTTGCAACCAAGGTACATGCCCTTAACCGGGACCCTTTGGTCCACAGGCCGATGCTCAATCCACTGAGCTAAACCAGCTAGAGCTATGATATAGGTCTTCTAATGTTATGGATAATATTTCAATTTGGTTGTTAAAGCCATCTGACTTTTGTGATACAGCTGAATAAATTTTTTCTACACTATTTTTGAATGTGATTAAAAAAATCTTTTGGATTTAATTAATAGTTGAAGTATTGAAACAAGCACACATTTTTGTTTTCCCTAGCATTAAATGCATTTACTTCTAGACTTTTGAGAAGAAAACTTGTAAAAAAAAAAAAAAAAGTTATGTGACCTTATAACTTGTTGGTCTGTGTTAATTTTTTTGGAGAGATTGGAAAACCAACTAGACTCTCATCTCAATACCCACTGGTTACATTGTTATGCTATAGCTTTGGAATTTTGGTAATATTTTAAACCTTTACTAGTGTTTGTAAAATTAATGCAGGAGATTAGAGGATTTTGTCTTAACTGCTTTGGAATGTAGTGAGTGTTTGTCTAATTATGATTAGCAGTATCCTAGGGGCTTATAACATGCACTGTGGTAACACCAAGACTTATTCTCTCCATTACAGAGATGTTCATATTTATGATGCAAGGCACCTGAATCCCAAGAGAAGCCAGCCTTTGGTTTCTTTGTCTGAACACACAAAGAGCATCGCTTCTGCTTATTTTTCACCTCTGACTGGTAACAGAGTAGTAACCACATGTGCCGATTGTAAGCTGAGGTAAATTGGGAAGACAAAGATATGTTAAGGAATCTAAAGTGTCCGTAGCTACTGTGTCGATAAACCAGTAGCTTTGTTTATTGCTGCTCCTTGTTCAATCACTAGTGTTATTGTTTATAGCTATATCTAGTTCCGGAAGATCAATGGCCTATATTTGATGGCTCTTTAGGTTGTTTATTTTCTCTTTAGTTTTTGTGCTTGGAAATTTCCTTGTGATTGACAAGGAAGATCTATAGCTACCCTGGGGAATAGATGCTGGGCTTTCCTTTCAGCACTAAATAATCCTGGATATCGCAATGAAAGCAGGTTTGTGATATCCTGAAAGGGAAGTAGTGTTAGCACAGGGAGAAGCTCTGACTTCACTGATAGGAGGTTCTGTTTTACACGTGAAGGGCTGAATGGAAGTTGCAGAGTGCCAGGCCATGGACAGGCAGAAAAGATCGCAAAAATTGGGCTTCTATACGAGCTAGTAGATACAGTTTTATGGTTTCAGTTTTGGTACCTTTCTATAGTGACTTCCTAAAAATAGACTAAAAACCATAATGTAAACCCATTGAACCAAAAATAAAAAATAATGCCAATAAAAAGATGTGGAGAATAATGCAACCACAAAGGAAAATGATTTTTTTTTTCCTTAAGTCCCTGATTTTGCATAACTTTGCAAGCATTTCTGTTAATGAGAATTTTACCTTATGTGATTTTGGAATTCATTCATTATCTGTTCACCGAGGATCTGTTGAATGTAAACTGTGAACCAGGCTGTAGAAAGGCACATAATTTCTGTTTAGGCCCATCTGTTGGGAAGAGTTTGGTCTGCAGTATGTAGCAGGTACCCACTTCATTTCTGGCAAAGTCTGTGAGCTTACCAGGTGGCACATTAAGAGATTCAGCCTCCAGGCAGGGGCAGTTCAGTGTTCCCTTTCCACCCACACAGTATCCTTTGTCTCAACAGCTGGCCTTTATCCCATTCCTGTACATTTGTGCTGTAGAGTTTACTCTTGTTACATTAGCTGTTAGGGATTTGGATTTCTAGCAATCTAATCAGGCAGTAAAGCTTTAATGCCAAGAAACTGTCCTGGAATAGCTAGGTACAAAAAGAGGGGAAAGGTGGTGGCAACATGGTTTCTTTCTCTGCCAGGGTCCCTGGCGGAGGCTTCTGGCCCCTCCAGCTGCCCCACAAGAACTCCTCCCCTTGGCTGGGTCTTAGTCTTGCCTGCACCTGGAAATGATGCTTACCAGGCCCTCAACTGATGAGCCTCACAGGGAAATTGCTCTTGAAACATGCATGTGCCTTTAGATTATTTGTGCATTTTTAAAATATATATATATTTTATTGATTTTTTTACAGAGAGGAGGAGCGAGGGATAGAGAGCTAGAAAAGTCGATGAGAGAGAAACATCGACCAGCTGCCTCTTGCACACCCCCTACTGGGGATGTGCCCGCAACCAATGTACATGCTCTTGACCGGAATCGAACCTGGGACCTTTTAGTCCGCAGACCGACGCTTTACCACTGAGCCAAACCGGCTTCGGCTCTTTGTGCATTTTGAGACCACATTCCTATGTATCACCTACTAGTGTATTACTGTGAATCGGAATATAGTTTTATAATCCAGATTATTAGTTTAGAATGTACATTTTAAGTTTGGCGTAATAGTGTTTAAATTATTTTACAATACACAATAAGCGCTAAATTTTACCATATTTCTTATAACTTTCATTAAGTATGTTAACTGAGGTTTATTAGATACTGATTGTATATATTTTAAAATAACAATGAAAAGGTTACTAAATACACTAATGTTATTTCATAAAAATTAGCAGGAAATAATAGTGCTTCTTTATTTTGTAGAATCTTTGACAGTAGCTGCATATCCTCTCAGATTCCCCTCCTCACCACCATCAGGTAGGTTTCCTGATGTCAAATAATGCAGAACCTGGATTACCACGCACTATTTGTTGGAATACAAACATTAGACACCTGATTGTCAAAGAGGTTTAATAGGTCTGATTTTTTGTGTTATAGTTTGTAAGTGTCCCAGGTTGTTAGTTCTTATGCTATCCAGAAGGGTTCTTGCTATCTTTTACAAATTTTCTTTCCCACTAGGCACAACACCAATACTGGGCGATGGCTGACCAGGTTCCGAGCCGTGTGGGACCCTAAGCAGGAAGACTGTGTCATAGTGGGCAGCATGGCCTATCCACGGCAGGTGGCAGTCTTCCACCAGACAGGGGAGCAGGTGCACTCTTTTCTTGGCGGAGAACGCCTGGCTTCTGTGTGCTCCATCAACGCGATGCATCCCACTCGGTATATTTTAGCCGGAGGTAATTCCAGTGGGAAGATCCACGTTTTTATGAATTAAGAAAGTTGCTGGGTTTTTGTGTTAGCAGTACTAATTTGTTCAAATTAATTGGTGTCTATTTAGCAAAGATAAGTTGCTTTATTATTATTATTTTTTTAAAAATATATTTTATTGATTTCATACAGAGAGGAACGGAGAGAGATAGAGTTAGAAACATCGATGTGAGAGAGTCATCGATCAGCTGCCTCTTGCACACCCCCTACTGGGGATATGCCCACAACCAAGGTACATGCCCTTGACCTGAATCGAACCCGGGACCCTTCAGTCCCCAAGCCGACGCTCTATCCATTAAGTCAAACCGGTCCCGGCTGATAAGTTGCTTTATTAATAGAAACTATGAGCAGAATGTATTTTTAGTGAAGGAGGAACCTTGGTTATTTCTACGGGTTGGAGGAAAATTTTGAGGGAGGCTGCGATGCCTTCAGCACTTTAATCAGGCAGTTTGTTGAGAAGCTGTAACATTAATAGTTATAAAGCTTTGAGTGATGAGTATTAAAAACTTTTGTGTTCTAATAATTTGGTTTTTAAAAAATTTATTGGGGTGACATTAGTTCATAATAACATTATATAAATTTCAGGCATACATTTTCATACTACTACATCGGTATATACTCTGTTGTGTGCCCACCATCTGAAGTCTGGTCTCCTCTGTCACCATATATTTTACCCCCTTTGCTTTCTTTGCCCTTCCCCAACCCCTCTTCTCTGGTAACCACCATTCTGTTGTCTATATATGAGGCTTTTTGTTCGTTTGTTGTCTTTTTATTTTATTTTAAATATACATTTTTATTGATAAAAGAGAGGAAGGGAGAGGGAGAAAGACAAACATCAATGATGAGAGAGAATCATTGATTGGCTGCTTCCTGCACGCCTCCTACTGGGGATTGAGCCCCCACCCGGGGCACGTGTCCTTGACTGGAATTGAACCTGGGACCCTTCAGTCTGCAGGCCGATGCTCTGTCCACTGAGCAAAATGAGCTGGAGCTGTTTATTGCCTCTTTTTTTTGGGGGGGGGGGAGGCATGCTTTATTTTTGTTTTTGCTTAAATAAGAACAACGCAACATTCCATACTCCCTCTTCCTACCTTTGGGGATTGATATAGATTTGCTGGGGCCAAAACCTAACATTATGTCAACTTATTGCTGATGGCTAATTGCCAGTGTTAGGGACAGAAAAACCTCCATTGCTACCAAAGGGTTGCAAGCTTCAGACATCTGTGGAACTGCTGCTACCACATCACGATTTAGGATTCATTCAGTGCTTAACAGATGAGGATTCTTGCACTTCACAAACAAGCTGGTGGTAAATAAGATGTAGTGATTTCAACTAGAAAATTTTAAACCACAGTAACATAGCTCATGTTATACTTGTATCATGTAACTTAAGCTCCAGTTCTTTCTTCGGAGTCCTCAGCTAGCGGGTTAACAGCGTTGAATAATGGCCAGATCTTGCAGTTGAGCATCATTCATGAGCCTTTTGTGCAATTGGGGCAATTCATCTTTAAATTGTTTTGATTCATTGGCAACATGCGGTTCTTTATCTTTAAGCATGCCATATCCTGCATGAACTGGACACGTGCACCTTTAATATTTTGCCGGCTCTGGTTTAGGATGTTTCTAGCTTTTGGGGAACACTTTTGTGGCTGAGAAATGACTTCTTCAGTTTTTGCTCTTCTAACTTGATGTTCTGCAGAGCTCTCTCTCTAGTTTTGAAACAAGTCTCTAATGGCTCTTCATATTTATCATAAAGCTTCTCCATTGGCTCCTGCCACTTCCTGTAGCTGTCTCCCTGCTTCTGGGAAATGGTTTCCAGGTGAGCAGTGGCTTCCATGATGAGTTTTCTTCTCTTTGTAAGAAGAGGCCTTTCCATGCCACCTTTATATTTATCCGGCATTTTGCTATTGCCTCCCCCACGGCGACTCGCTCGTTGCTGTCTGCCCGGCTGCTTCTCACGTGAGGCAGGAAGGCGTCCCCGTGGGAGGAGGAACACACGGGGGTGGAATGGGCGCTGTCCCGGAGGGACTCGAGGCCTGGGGAGGCAAAAGGAGCGTGAGTAGGCCTTCTGTATCAGCGCACACTTGTTTTTCTTTCTGTTTATAGTTTTGGCCACATTTGTTAAAGATGGTGCCATTCCGGCCTTTGTGTCCTGGGCCTGGTTTTAGCCCCGATGGGAAAGAGGCTGAATGGCAGACTATCCCTGATGGAGAGCTGGGGCCGCTGTTCAGGGAGCTTGGCCTGAGGGCCCCGAGAGGCAGGAGTGGGGAGGAGAAGACTGTTGTGCCTGGGCCTCGTCTAATGCTGATTCTGGAGCTGAGCGTCCTTTGAACAGCCTAGCGCACAGCTCCCCGAGCTCACGAGGCATCTTTTCTGCAGTTGCTATCGGTGTCTTCAGCCTCCCAGCTCTCTGTCCTGCCCCAGTGGGACAGGAAAACCCCATCTGCTCTCCCTGAGTGCTCTCTGGTGGGGACGGCCAGCTTCCCCTCTTTTCACCTGAGGATGACCTGGGTCCAGAATAGGCCGAGTCCCTATTTCAGACAATCCGGAGTGCAGAAGAGCGAACTTTGGGTGACGGGGGGAATTCTCTTACATTTTTTTAGGAGGAAGGGTCTGTGGCCCCTAAAGCTACCCATTATTTCTTTATTTTCCCGGATGGAGCATTTCTTTCCAGGGTACAAGCTCTGGTAGGGAAAAACAGGAGCCAGTTACTCCTGCACCCCAGCAGCCCAGAGGCTATGGGCTCAGAGTCCCCGGAGGCTCACATCACAGTGCTGACGAGGGGACGGCGTCCTGTTTCAGGCTCAACATCTGCGTTTCCCACTCCTGGCCGTCTTGGCGGTGCCAGAGTGGCTCTCCCTGCCGTGGTGGCCAATGACAAGAGAAGCCAGTCCCCTTCTGTTGCTCTGAAATGGACTCTGACTGCCCCAGACGGGGAAAGGCTTGGCCTAACAGCTGATAGGGGGGTTTTCTGGTCCAGGGCTAGTTCAGAAGCCCAACGGTCTCCTTGTGGCCCTAGCTATATTTTCTTTGTTCCTATGCTAAAATCTTAAATTCATATAATGCCTTAAACTTTTTAAAGCACTGCCATTTTATCTTTTAACAACTCCACGAAGTAGTGAGGGTGAGAGGTTACGGAACTTTCCTAAAGTCTGGTTGGTTGCTAATGGCAAAGGCAAGGGGAGAATCCAAGCATCTTTCTAGTTGATGGTGCTAATGAAATCCATGCAGTTGGATTATGGGGAGTGGGGCAGTGGGCAGGATGAATTAAAGGCAACAGCTGGCACCTTCCTTAGATTTAGGTCCTAACTGTCCCAGAAACTGTTCTTCAATAATGTGACATTAAGAGCCTGTCCCTGCCAAGACCGGTTTGGCTCAACGGATAGATCGTCGGCCTGGGGACTCAAAGGTCCCGGGTTCGATTCCAGTCAAGGGCATGTACCTTGGTTGTGGGCATATCTCCAGTGGGGGGTGTGCAAGAGGCAGCTGATCGATGACTCTCTCTCATCGATGTTTCTGACTCTCTCTCTCCCTTCCTCTCTGTACAAAATCAATAAAATATATTTTTAAAAAAAAAAAAAAAGGGCCTGTTCCTGTTCCTGACGCTCCTTTGGTCTCTGCCTCCCCAATCTTCCCCGATCTTCCCTGTCCGCGCGCAGCCTGAGGAATAGGTACCCACGAGTGTGTGTGGGATCCCCGATAAAACAGAAACCTTCAGGCCCTCATTACACATGGTGCCAGCTAAGCTCCTTCCCCAGACACTCCTCTGGCCCCCTTTTCTCTGGAGCCTCAGCCCCGCTGCACAGGGCACCTCACACCCTTTCCTGGGGCTGCCCCCTCAAGGACAGCTCTGACTGCCAGAGGCTGACCAGCTTAGCAACCCGAAGCCACTTCAGTGCACGCTTAGCCTGGCCTGCAGATTAGCCCTAAGCCGGGGCAGGAGAGAGGCAAAGTCTGTGACATCAGAAAGCACGAATTAGGACACCAGCAGCCACATTATACTGAGTTGTTGGTGCTCTCAGTAAACAAGATAATGGACATGTATGCATTTCTAGTAATGTCTGACACAGAGTTACTCCGTAAATGTTAGTCGTCTGTTCCCTCACCAGACCTCACCCGTGTCACCCCTCTGCCAGGTTAGTTCTGTACAGACTTCAGGTGTCACTGTCAACCACCACCTGCCTCGCCCCTCCATCAAACCTGTTATTCTGGGGGGATAGGGTGGGTGGGATCTGGGCGAGTGGCACAGCACAGCAGAGAACTGCTTTGTTACCTTGGAGGTGCTGCAGCTGATCGCCTTGCCCAGAGGCGGCGCCCAGAGGGCTGGGGGGCACAGCGGTCAGGAGCCTGCCCTGCAGCCGGGGCCCCATCCTCAGGACGCGCGCTCAGGGGCCGGAGGCAGTGATTAGTCAGCCGGAGCTCCACGCGGACTCGGGTGTGAATCTTAATTAGACTCTTCCCCATGGCAGCCCCGGAAAGCCGATGCCTCTTCCGTGGGAACCAGCCGGGCAGGGAGGGACGGAGGGACGGACGGAAACCCCGCCGGGACAGGAGATGGGTGCTGATCTCAGCCCATGGCAGCCCCTTCGCGGAGCCTCCCGGGCTGGTGGGAGGTCGGCTCCATGAGCCGCAGAGCAGCTGAGCTGCTGGGAAGGAGCAGCTCAAGAGGCGCATGTTATCAGGGACGGGGTTCAGTCAGAAGCACTTAGAGCCATAAAAAGTCATGCTTCCCAGCCTGCAGCTGGTTCCCTGAGGCCCGTGTTAGGGCCACGGGCCTCTCAGAGGGTGACAGGCAGAGAGGGCAGGGAACGGTGCCGAGGGCAGGGCCATCGGGCTGTGCAGAAAATTCAGGGCTTGAAGCCACACAGACACCGGCTTTGGCTGAGTGGCTCTGACGTGCGAGGAAGCGGCTCTGGCTGGCAATGGGCTGTGTCCCATCCTGCCCTGGGATGAACCTGGTGGCCTCAGCCTCAGGATGGACGGGGAGAGGGGACACGTAAGGGGAAAATAGTTATATTTCCTCAAAAGAGGGGGAGAAAATCCCTCCACTTTCCTGAGGGAACACCCAAAAGGAGGGACCGGGGGAGCCGCACTCCGTTCTGCTCAGCCTCACGGGGGGAGAGACTCGGGCTGTTGTGTCTGATGTCGGAGCTCAGTAACTCCACACCTTGCACAGTGACTACTTGGGTAGTTTGTAAGGCACCTTCCACATTCACAGCCCACTCTATGGCAGCAGCTCGCAGGGTAAATATCCATGCAGAGCTCTGCTGAAACCTCATCCTGGCCTTCCTGCCCAGGGCTCCCAGGGCTCTGGGCTGGGCGGGCAGCCACAGCTAGGAAGGTGCCCCTTGTTTACAAACGGGACAACAAAGACTCCGACGATGAAGGCTCTTGGTGGTGGCTGCCCAGCCAGGTTCTCAGCCCCCAGAGAACCAGGCTCCGGTGATGCAGAGTCACTGACCCAAACCAGAGGTCCTCCCCGAGAGAGACGTCCTTTCTAACTCGGTTTTCACTAACAAGCAGCAGCCTTCGCTCAGAAAAGACAAAGGGCCTCCCCTGCCCAGCCTCCAAGACAGAAACTAGTTTGAAATAATCCTGCTGCTTGAGCTCTGAGGTTCTACAAACCGTCCTCATCGGGAATGGGAAGTGTACGCCTGCATCCAGCCTGCAGGGCCAGCTGGGCAGGAGCAACAGCAGGAGGGCACGGTTCCTAGTCTAACAGCATTAAGTACCCACACACGGGAGCGATGTCCCTCAGGCTGCTGGGGTATCTAGTTCTGAAGATACACAGACTTTGTCTCTCTACCTCCATGTACTCCAAAGGGGGAGAAGGGTTGAGAGAGATGGGCATGTTGGGTTTCCTAAGATAATGTTAAAGAATTCAGAGAGCAAGAGGGCGGGCTTCTACCACTGAAGTGGAGGTGGTAGCAGTTATTGGAATGCTTCAGAACCAGGAGTTTGTTTTTTGGTTCACTGCCCCAGGCCACGCTGATCACTTAAGCCATGGAGATGGGTCAGATCCGGAAAACAAGTGAAAAGCCTCTGGATGGAAAGCAATGTTTCCCAAAGGTCTACCCCAAATACTCTCAGGTCTACACCCTTCTGGGTTAGACAGCTCAGCGGGGCTGGGGGAGGGGGACCCTTTTTCCCTTGACACCCAGCCTGCAAGTCCCTCCGCTGGGTGAAACTGCCTCCCTGCCACCGGAGAAACTTGCTGCTGTGTCCAGAGAAAACTCACTTCTTTTTAAGTCCCCGAGTGGAACTGGTCTAAGTCACAACTCGGAGAAATCTGTGGTCCTCTTGCCTTCCGTCTCCAGAGCTCACGCTTACTTTCCATAATGGAGATGTGAACAGCCCTTCTCCGGGTCCTGGGGATGCTGCTCAGCCCGGGGCCGTGGGTTATGGAGGGGCAGCTGCGGCTGGGAACCATCCCAGCTCTGAGAGCAAAGGGAAAGAACAGCTGAGTGTGCAGGTAGCTGTGGTCAGGACTCTTGAATTGAGGAGTGGCTACTACAATTGTCTGGTCGTGTCGTTGAAATTTTATTTTGTTTTTTAAAAAAATCTTTTAATACCTGCTTTTGGATCCCAGTCAGAGACACTCCTTATGCCCCAGACTCACCAGAGCCTGCCTTTAGTGTGGCAATGGTGCCACTGGCTTCTGAGCAGGGTGGTGCCCGGGGTAATCAGTTCGCCCCCGAAAATGGATATGGCAGCCGCCCTTGACTCCCATCAGCCGTGGCAGGGGCTCTGTGGAAAGGGCCAGGCAATGCTCCCACTCCCAGAGGTCAGGCTGGTGGACAGACGCTAGCCCTCTTGGCCAATCTTCTCTCTGGGTCTTCCTGGGTTCTGGGAGACGGGCTCCTGGAAACGTCTGCACAGAGCATGATCTCAGAACCTGTGTACAAGGGGTGTGAGCGGGTGTGGGGCTATCCCTGGCTTTCGTAATGAATTGATTCCACAACCAGTGAAACCTTGCTGCTGGGACATGTTCTCCGTGGTGTATGACCAATTTCAGGGCCTGGGAGGACAGTACAGAATCACCCTGGAAGGTCCCCTGGATCTGACGTGCTGTCTACATTGGCCCGCTCTCCCTGTTCTCCATTCCACCCGATGGCTCTCTTCACCGCTTCTGCCCTGTTCTCCTTCCCCCTGTGGAAGCCACTGTGGCCAGAACCTTCATGTTACTCCACCAGCTGGCTCTTTGGAAGTCCCGGGACCTGAGCTGGACTGCTTTTGGGGAAGCCCCTGGCAGCCTACCTGTGGATCTCGGGCGGCTCCCGTTTGATCTGGGCACTCGACTCCATGACTTCCTTTGCGACTCGGCCACTGGAGGAAGTATGATAATAAAACAGCAGCAAGAAGTGAGGCAGTGTCCCCGGACAGGGCTCCTCTCCAGGCTCTCAGATCACTGTGGCTGAACTGAGAAATGGCCTCTGGCCCACCCCTTCCCAGTGTTCAGGCTACCGAGAGAGAACTTTACCCCCGCAAGCAAGCCTAAGATGCCCTGACAGCTGATCTTAGAGGGCCCTCTATCTCTGGAGTCCTTTGGCTCTTTCATTCTCATTTAGGAATGATTCCTCCTTGTCCAGGATGTTCCAAAAATATTGCAAAAAAAAGAGAGAGAAATCTCTAGACAGACCTGAGAAGAATTACTGTTATAGTTCTTATTGTGCTCCTATTGTAAGGACAGAAGTACTCTGTCCTTAAAACCCTACAGACCCAGCTGCAGGCAGGGAAAGAACAAAGGGCGAGGAGACAGACTTTGATGGGAACCTCAGGCTTGTCTGGAGGTTTCCAGCTTCTTTGTTCTCAAGGGGAAGGACCACGGAGTCATTGTTCTGGAAGGAAGGGTCTGAAAATAGGTCCATAACGGTTACTTACGGTCACTATTTACCTGTATCGGAACTGGCTCCCTTTGAAGAATAAGTTGCTGCTGGACACTGTGCGGACTTGGCTCGACTTCTCCAGCCTGCAGCAAGGCAAAGCCCCGTGTGACAGGCGGCCTGCGACGTCTCCAGGCCAAAAGGCGCCTTCCCAGCCGCTTCCACAGCAGGAAGCCCTCCCAGCCCTGCGGGTCTCTGCCTCTCCTTTGGGACTCGGGGGCCCTGTTCACGGCCTCAGTGCCAGGCACAGGCATACTGAACCCCACTTTCTTGTTAATCCTCACCCGAGGATATTTTCCCATTGATGTTTTTTAGAGAGAGTGGGAAGGAGGGAAAGAGAGAGAGATATCATTAGTTGCCTCCCACATGTCTCTGACCAGGGCCGGGGATCGATTCTGCAACTGAGATGTGTGCCCTTGGCCGGAATTAAACCGACCCACGAGCTGATGGGGGCTGGCTCCCATGGCTCTCCCAGGCTGCAGACGGGGGAGGGGCTGCCTGGCCGCTGGCTAGTTGGAAGAGAAGGTCTGGGGTCCCCGGGGCAGAGCTCAGTTGTGTAAGTTCACAGCCTGCAGGGCCAGTGAGAAAGTCTCAGAACCAAGAAAGCCCTCACCAGAGAAGGTGGCACTCATTTAAAATGGCCCCTTTCTTCTTTTGTATTTCTTCTCTTGGAGTTTTCATATGGAAGCAAAAGAATGTTATTCTGCATTTCCTGGAGGCATGGAACCTCATGGAACCTTCCTCTCTGAGGAAGCCCGCGTTCCAGGGCCTCACCCCCTCTCCCTCCCTCACCTCCAGGTCTGGACCTTAGTCTTAGCCTGCTGGGGGCTTATAGCACTGCCTGGACGGAGCACTTTGGCTCAGCCCTGGCCGTCAGGAGCCATCCTGGTCCCCCAGCCTTCCCGGAAAGAAGGAAGCCGGCACTCACCTCTTTCTGACTTACATACAAGTAGAAAGTCTTCCCTTCAAATTTCAGCTTGGTCACCTCGTTCCTAGAAGCGCAAAGACAGCAGCCGTCACCTCGCTGTGGGCTGCCTGCTCACAGTCCTGTCTTGCAGATGCACAGCCCACCCCAACTGGGAGGGGCTCTGGGCACAGACTCAGGTTTAGCCAAAATCAGAACTAAAACAGGACAGCAGCGCGGAGGCCTTAGAGAACAGTTGTTGAAACAGTTCAATCCACAGTTTTCTGGTCAGACTCTAACCGGGTGACAGGTGGCTTTCAGGCTCCCCGACAGTGGCGGGAAGGGGGCCCTGGCATGGGACGAGAGTCTCGGTAGGGTGGTGCCGGGCCGTTGTAGGGTCTGGTTCATAACACAGGTGCATTATCCAGGTGGGACTGTCACACTTAGGTTGCCACAGTAGCTGATGAGGCCGAAGTTCAAGATACAGCAACTAATGGAAGACAATGCGACCAGGTTCTGAGGGAGCTGAGTCTTTTGGGTGACTGTGCCACTGGATGGAGAATGCAGTTGGGTGCAGACAAATGTCAGATGATTTTGGGGAGGGGGCGGGACAACATACCAGAGAGAGAACATCCTCCCTTTCACCAAAATGTTGCGGATTTGAGTGTGAGTACATGAAGCAACCAATCAATGTTTCTCTCACATATCTGTTTCACTCTTAAAAAAAAAATTAGTAAAAACATCTTTGTGTTAGGATAAAAAGAAAAAAAAGGAGAGGCAGAGCTCAGTTGTGTAAGTTCATGTACCCTGGGCATGTACCCTGACCGGGAAAGCAACCTGTGACCTTTCAGCACACAAGGATGATGTTCAACCACACCAGCCAGGGCATCAGCATATTTAACAATGGTATTTTGGGGTAGAATTTGATAATATGTTTCATTTAAAAATATATATTTTATTGATCTTTTTACAGAGAGGAAGGGAGAGGGATAGAGAGTTAGAAACATCCATGAGAGAGAAACATCAATCAGCTGCCTCCTGCACCGGGCATGTGCCCGCAAGCAAAGAACATGCCCTTGACTAGAATCAAACCTGGACCCGTGAGTCCGCAGGCTAACGCTCTACCCACTGAGCCAAACCGGTTAGGACTGTGTTTCATTTTTATTGCATTTATTTTTATAGTTACTTTCTGCTTTTGGACAAGTGATACTGATTTTAAATTTCTAAAGGAATATGAGGTTTGACTTACATGCTTTATTTAAGATGTATACAAAAATTAAGTAATAGCCGAAACCGGTTTGGCTCAATGGATAGAGCGTCGGCTTGGGGACTGAAGGGACCCGGGTTCGATTCCGGTCAAGGGCATGTACCTTGGTTGTGGGCATATCCCCAGTAGTGGGTGTGCAAGAGGCAACTGATCGACGACTCTCTCTCATCGATGTTTCTAACTATCTCTCTCCCTTCCTCTCTGTACAAAATCAATAAAATATATTTTTTTAAAAAATTAAGTAATAGACAGTGATTCAAGTGATTCTTAGGTGTGGCAAAAATAACGAGATGGCACTGAGGTTTATTGCCTTCCCATCAACTCTATGTTGAGGGAGAAGCCCGTTTGAAGTTCCAGCCTCAAGTGGGTTCTGCCATGGGAACTAATTGGACAAAATCACAAGTTAAAATTCACAACCACCCTGCCCGTGTGGCTCTTTTGGAGTGTCCTCCAGTGCACTGAAAGGTTGCAGGTTCGAATCTGGGTCAGGGAACATACTCAGGTTGAGGGTTATATCCCTCCCCTCCCCTTCCCTCCCCTCCCTTCCTCCTCCTCCTCCTCCTCCTCCTCCTCCTCCTCCTCCTCCTCCTCCTCCTCCTCCTCCTCCTCCTCCTCCTCCTCCTCCTCCTCCTCCTCCTCCTCCTCCTCCTCCTCCTCCTCCTCCTCCTCCTCCTCCTCCTCCTCCTCCTCCTCCTCCTCCTTCTTCTTCTTCTTCTTCTTCTTCTTCTTCTTCTTCTTCTCTCTCTCTCTCTCTCTCTCTCTCTCTCTCTCTCTCTCTCACCAATAAAAACATACCCTCTAGTGAGGATTAAAAAAATCACAATTCTTTCCTGTGATGTTTCCTAAGCATTTCTCCTTTAAAAATTTTTTTAAATTGATTTTTTTACAGAGAGGAAAGGCGAGGGATAGAGAGCTAGAAACATCAATGAGAGAGAAACATTTGACTAGCTGCCCCCTGCACACCCCCTATCCGGGATGTGCCTGCAACCACTGAACATGCCTTTGACCGGAATCCAACCTGGGACCCTTCAGTCTGCAGGCCGACGCTCTACCGCTGAGCCAAACCGGTTTCGGCCATTTCTCCTTTTTGCAAACAATTCCCCAGGGCCGGTGGGGAGTTTTGTAGATGAATGGAGCTAGGAATGAGAATAGTTTAAGTAGGAAATGGAAGCTTCACGCCCCATTCAACTGCCTGCTAAACACCCTGTGGCCGGTGGAGACAGTGCAGCGAGAAAACGGACAAATGTACATTTTCCAATCTCTCGGTCCCGTATCCAACTCCACAGTCTGATTTTGGGGGTCCTCCAATGCTTCTAAGCCATCGCATCTTCCCATTTCAAGTTTCTGTGGGGAGATGGACAAGACCAAAGTTTGAGGACCTACGGGGCGTGGCAGCGAATTTCTGAATTAGAGAGGTGTGGGGGTGGCGGGACAATGTGGTTGGAATGGGGTCTCTGAAGCTGCGGTTTGTGAACGAATTTACACAGGTGGGCAACGCAAGTGGCTAATTAGGCGGTGGGGGATTCTAACCCAAGGATCTGATAACAGAACCGGGGGGACCTTTTCGCTTCCGTCCCTCCAGCCCCCGTCCTACAGCCCCACCATTCCCTCCGGGAGAGATGGTCGCTGTCCCGAGCCGTCCCCGCCTGAGATCACTGCCACGTCACGTGCTCCAGCCCGCGGAAGCGCCACATCGCCAGCCGCGCCCCTTACCACACCCCGCCCACCCCGCCCACGTGACCGGCCTACTTTCTCCCGCCCGCCCCGCTCGGAAGCCCCGCCCCCCGCGCGCCGGGCCAGCGAACTTCCGCCCCCGCCCCGGCCCAGGCTCCAGCGTGGCCCGCGGCCCCACGTGCTTCCTCCTGCCCAATGGAAGCCGGCGCCGGGCGCCAAGGGGCGGGGCGGAAAGAACGGCTCCGTTACGCCGCGAGAAAGGGGCGGGGCCTGCAACGTCGGAGCGAACGAAGGGACGCAACGGAGGCAGGTCGGAGCCGCTGCCGTCGCCATGACCCGTGAGCGCTGTGCCCCTCTCCTCTGGCCCTTTTCCCCGTGTCCACCCCGAGCGGCGCCGCCGAGTGCCGGCGCGGGCCTCCTGCTGGCTCCCCCAGCGAGGCCCCTTTCCGGGAGCGCTCTTAGCGACCCTCACCCCCGGAGCCCGGAGCCCGGCCCTTGCCCACCGCCACTTCTGGAGAAACACCCGCCCCCCCCCGCTCCTCCGCCCGCCCGCACGGGTCCGGCCCAGGGCCTCCCGGACCTCCCGCGGCGTGGGGAGAAGCCCGGAGTCTGGGGAGGGGGGCCCAGAGCCCCTTACTCCAGGGACCCGGACCGTTCACACCCCCCTCCCCACCTCCGGTCTGGGAGCCCACGCCGCCCCGAACCTCCAAACACGCCTCCCGCGGGCCCCTCGGGATGGTCTTTTCTCCACTCTGCAGTTTGCCCTGCCCCGTGGCAGCTCGGCCCCCTTGGCCCCACCCCGCCCCCCATCAGCCTCAGCCCCGGCCTGGGCCGGTGTCGGACCCGCGGGATGAGGTCTTGGACCCCCACGGTGGCCGGGGGAGGTTGAGAGTCGTCGGTGTGTGGCCGGGAAGGCCCCCGCGGCTCACCGTTCACCTTTTTCTTTAGGCGGTAACCAGCGCGAGCTCGCCCGCCAGAAGAACATGAAAAAGCAGAGCGACTCGGGTAAAGGGAAGCGCCGAGATGACGGGCTTTCTGCTGCCGCCCGCAAGCAGAGGTAGCCCCTGGGAGGGGAGGGACGCTGGTGGGGCGAGAACTTGGGTTGGACCAGAAACAGAGAACTATTGGGTCTAGTAATAATTAATGTCATTTTTAAACATTCGTTTAAAATCTTGCCTGGCGTTGACTTGTGTTGACATAACCTTCAAACACGTGGTATCTACAGAACGTGTGAAGTGCAATTAACAAGTTTTGCTTGAAAAAGTTTGTGTTTGGTTTGGTTTTTGTTGCAAAACTAGGGCTGAGAAGATGGCGGATGAAGAGCATATTCGGCACTGCATGCTTTAGGAGTTCCAATTAGGAAGAAAAGCAAGTGAGGCTGCAAAAAACATCAGTAGTGCTCTTGGTGAAGATGCAGTTAGCGCCAGAAAATGCCAGCGTTGGTTTGAGAAATTTCGCGAGGGAAATTTTTCGTTAGATGACAAGAGTGGTCGAGGCCGTGTGTCCAATTTTGATCAAGAAGCTCTTCAAGCTCTTTTGGTGCAAAATCCTCAAATTACCCAACAAGAGCTTGCGACAACTTTAAATTGTTCACAAAAAACAATTTCCAATCAATTGCGTGCACTTGGGAATACAGCAGCCACAAGCTGAAGTTTTGTCCCATCCACTTCCATCTTATCCTTTGTGCCCTACATCCCCCTGCATCTTGTCCCTTTTGCCCTCTGGTACCTCCCAGTGCCCCATCATCTCTACCCCTAGGGACTCGGAGATCATGCAGCAGAAGCAGAAAAAGGCAAACGAGAAGAAGGAGGAACCCAAGTAGCTTTGTGGCTTCGTGTCCAACTCTCTTGCCCTTCGCCTGTGTGCCTGGAGCCAGTCCCACCACGCTCGCGTTTCCTCCTGTAGTGCTCACAGGTCCCAGCACCGATGGCATTCCCTTTGCCCCGAGTCTGCAGCGGGCCCCTTTTGTGCTTCCTTCCCCTCAAGTAGCCTCTCCCCACCTGGGCCACGCCTGGGGGCGAGACGGTTACCACTTCCCAGTGTTTTTTTATTCCTATGGGGCTCACCCCAAAGTATTAAAAGTAGCTTTGTAATTCCTTGAGTGACTGGTTTGACTGTGGATTTGGGGGGATGGGGATGGAGGAATGGCTGTCCTTTCCCACGAAAAGGGGAGAGAATGTTAGACCCTAAAAGGTTGTGGATATGTAGCCTGAGTAAAACATCACAGAAAAATCCTTTATTTGACAATAAGCGGACAAGTACTCTGGGTATGTGGTAGAGGAATCCATAGGGACTTCTTTTCTGTAATTTTTGTCTTCCACCTAGACCTTAACAGCATCCCAAGGATGGAGTTGAGGGCTTAAGAAGGAAGGCTCCAAGACCTAAGTTTATGCCCCTCTTCCTTATTCTTTCTCCATTTGTTTGTCTGCTTGAAAGTTGGGCCAAACATCCTGCTGCTCACCTACTTCCCACAGCCAGCTGCTTTCAGGTGTTCACATTCTCTTCTTTCAGTTCTCGTGGAATGAGGGTGGTTTTTGTCTTCCCACTTCCTTTGACCTCAAGATCAGGATTAAAAGCTGGGGTAGTCTCTCTGTTCCTTTCTTCCTGTGCTCTGGTTTGTTCTGGGGTTCTGGGCTTCTTATATCCCTGTGCCCAGGGTTGAACTGCTTATGTTTCCTTTTATCTCCAAGAGCAGAGCCAAGTATGCCTTTAGTCCCTGTTGATCTTTCCCTGAATCACTGATCTCAGTGCTTCCTGAGCTGTTGACTAAGGAGTTAGCTCTTGAGTTGGGGTGAAGATGTAATGGTAGCTCTAGTGAGTCAGGTACCTGACTAGGGCATTAAGGGTATATTTAGGCACTTTTTCCAATTCAGACACAGTATTGCCTTCAGCCTAAATGAGGTAACTAACTGCCCATTGTGTCCTTGAGGTGTTTGCTTGGCTATACAGCTCTTCCGAACCAAGACTAGGGGCCCAACCTCAAGGAAACCTCAGTTGTGTTAAAAATACCTAGAATGGATGTTTGTTATCTGGCGATACTAATACGATGACATTGTTGCCTGAAGATAGGAGGAGGCTTGGGGTTCTGGGTGGGGGACCAACAGAGTGGTGCCAGTAGCAGCCACAGATAGAGGAGTACACAAGCCCAGCATGAGGCAACCTTGACCCAGAAGGTAGCCCAGCTACCCTTGGTGAATGTCTTTTCCAGTTCTGCTCCCTCATAGCTGTGGAACCAAAGTCTTGTGGTTAGAGAATATGAAGAGCCTCAGCGTTTAGACCTGTCCTACCTTCCCATCAGGTTATGGCAGACCCATGTGAGTACCCTGGGAACCCTTGCGACTGGCCTTGATTCACTCCCTATAATAGCTAGGTTTTCAGGAGAGTATCCCAGGCCTACTTCCCCATCCTACCTGAACCAGTTGGTAAGGGTAACCATGACATAGAGTGATGCAAGGAAAAAGACGAAGTGGAAGGCAGAATAGCTGTAGGAAAGATGCTGGGCTTTCACTGGAGGAGCTGGAGCGGTCTCTTGGTCAGTGGGCCTGGCAGCTCCTCTTTGCCCTGAAGAGAGAGAGGGCAATAGTGCTGCTGAAATACCTCTTCCATCTTCCTCCTCCCCCAGCTTCCTTTGTGAAAGCGCTTAAGGGCTCTGTGACACTGCAGAAATCTACACTTTCTAATGGATCCTCACTTGACACTCACCTTCCTCTGGCTCCACTGTTTCAGGGCAACAGAAACAGAGTGAGGGCTTCTGTAAAACAAAAGGCAGCATGATTTGAAATGACTCTGATAAGAATGTGAAGGTATTAACATAGGAAACTCCCTTTCTTTGAAAATATCTGGTGAAAGAAGTAGAGGCACGCCTGGGTTCAAATGCTAGCTCCAGCATATAACTGGTTATGGTAATTTTGGTAAGATGTTTAATCTGTGCCTCAGTTTCTCCATTTGTAAAATGGAGCAAATAACCTACCTCACAGGGTTGTTGTGAGGATTATATTAAATGAGATTATGTATGTAAAGGAGCACAGTGCCTAGCACATTGTGGGTACTCAATAAAAGGTAATAGCAGCTAGAATCTGAGCTTTCTGGGTAGAGATTGGTAGGATGTGTGTCTGTGTGTGTGTGTGTGTGGGAGGGGGAGGGGCACGGGGAATACTGAACTTTCCATTCTCACCTGGAACTCATAGTTGTAAACCTTGATGATCCACAAGGGCCCAAATACTTCAGCCAGGTAGGAAGCCTCATTGCTGAGAAAGAAAACAGTTCTCAAGCAGGTTTAATCAAGTAGCGGGAGGGAATTGCTTGATGGCACCTACTGCCAGCTGCTAACTTTTAGGAGGATATTGGGTTCCTAGAACCACTCCCCCCCACCCCCCTCACCCCCGATTTAGAAATCTTCACTTGAGGGCCCTAAAATCTTTGCATGTATTTTTAATTCTCATACTTCCCTTGCTCCCTTTTTCTTACACAGATCATCTGACAAGTGCTATTCTTAGAAACTGTTTCTGTTCATGGGGATCCTCCCTCTTTTCATGTTTTAAAGTTTAAATAAACACAGTTCCAGACAATCTGACCATCCCTCCCTGTCCTGGGCATTTTTCCTTCTCTCATACCTCTTCCCTTGACACTTTTACGCACCAAGCAAAAAGCACACAAGCATACATGATGCCAGCACTCAGCACTGCCAGAGAAGAATCTGGTGTTTGGGGTTCCATTTTACTCAGGCCAGGCAGACACAGTGTGTGATTCTGTCCTTGAAGAATTACTGAGAAGGGTAGAAGAAAAGTGGTAAGAACAAAACTAAGTATTTGGCAGGAGCAAAAATAAGGTTTAGCCTGGGGAGACCAGGTCCTGTCCTTACCACTCTCTGGAGGTCGGCTGGACAGTGCAGAGAAGGTCAGGTACATGATATAACAGCTGATGATAGAGGCTTGCAGAAGTCCAGAGCGGGGTTGCTCTGGGTGTAATGGGGTCATTGCTTTAGTCTACAGGGTAGAAATTTCTACCCCCAACCACACTTCTGTTTCCCCACCCTTTGGGAGAAGCAGAGTGTTGATATCTAGGGAAACTAATGAAATTTGCTATACTAATGGTCCCCCAAATCTGGAATGTTGCAAGGCATGTACCCACTGAGGCGGATGCAGGGAGCGATGGAGAGGACGGAGAGGAGGCCACAGAAACAAAGGTGCAGACTGAGCAGCATCTTGTTGAGCAGGCAGCCAGCTGGGTGCGTGTAGTGGTGGAACAGGAACACTGCCGCCACGCCTGCCACGCTGTAGAATCCTAGGGTGGCCAGCAGCATGGCTAGGAACCAGCGGCAGTCTTGGAATGCACCTGTCTGCCTAAGGGTGGAGGTGGGCAGTGGCTTCGGGCTCCAACGCTTTTTTAAAAAATTTTATTACATTACCAACTATTCCCCTCTCCCAGAAGACTGGTGTGGTTACCCATCCCAATTGGCCCACAGACTTACCAGATTCCTGACCTTTTTTGTTCGGAAGTTTTGGGACCATGGGCCTGTCACATCCTTGGTTCAACCACACTGGGTCGTCTAATGTTAGACAACATTCCCAGGAAGAGCCTTTAGGGTTATGTGCTCCTTACCAGTTCTTATTCCAGGAATGGGCGAAGGCTGTGATAAGCACCAGCTGCAACAGGATGAATGCGAAGCCTCCACAGATGCCAATGTAATGCCAGGCTGCACCCGTGGGAAAATGTGGTTGATCATATTGTTACTCCTGGTCTTCTTCCTGCCCTCTTTTTCTCAGAAAATCTTTTAACCCACTGATCAGGATATGAAATGGAAGGTACCTGGGAAAAGATGCTCATCAGGGATGCAGAAGGCAACAGCACAGAGACCCAGCAGGAACAGCAGCTTGAGGAGCCAGAAGCTGGTTTGCAGGGAAAGAAAAACAGATTCAAAAGAAAAGGCATAGGAGAGTGGGCAGAGTGCCTATCGAGGAAGGCAAAAAAGAAAGCAAAACTAGGAAAAGGAAAAGAAAAGACAGCTAAGTATAGAAAAGGAGTCTTGTGTGAGCGGCTGGTAGCAGGCCCATTGCAGCTTATTCCAAATTCTCTCAGACACTTAAATAACATTTAGACACATTTTACTATTGACACGGGGCTTGCAGATAACCCCACTGTCACCTCCATTTTAGAAACGAAGTTCAGGCCCCAGCCAGGTAGCTTAGTTGGTTAGAGCATCATCCCATTATGCCAAGGTTGTGGGTTCCATACTAGGTCAGGGCACATACAAGAATCAACCAGTGAATGCATAAATAAACGGAATAACAAATCGATGTCTCTTTCCCTCTCCCATCCCTCCCTCTCAAAATCAATTTTTAAAAATCTTTAAAAAATAAAAAACTACCTGTTTTCTGTCTTTTTACAGTGCTATTATTTCATCTTGGAATTTCCTTTAAGCTTATGTCTACTTCCCTCCCCACCCAAAGAGTACACACAAACCTATTATGCAGGTGTGCTCGACGGCTGGTAGGCGAGTGCAGGTGGACCAGCAGCACAGCCTGCAGCAGGTGGAAGGTGGCAGTTCCTGCACAAATTCGGTACACAGCCCCAGAGCCACTGAGCACTGGGCAGTGAGAGTGGCCAAACAGATGGGCACAAAATCCTGAGGGCATCTGGATCTGGAAGGAAGGCAGGTCATCATGCATAGAGAGGTACCTACTTCTCATGGGTATTCACTCATTTGTCCCCAGCCCCCAATCTGAATCTTGTCAGTGCAACCCTATCCCCTCACACTTACGCCATTAGCCTTGCCCCAGACCCTCTCCACAACTGTTCTTGACAGCAGCAGGCAGCAGACTGCTGAGGCCCCTACATGGAGGATTGTGTAGGATAGGCGGCTACAAGTGGACTCTGTGAGATGAGGCCACCTAGTATGGCAGCAGCAGGTACTGGGAACGGGCCCACAGCAGGACACCTAGGGATAGAGCAGATGCAGGGCAAGGGTTACATTAATGCATGTGTGAGTTTAAACTAAGGCTGAATTCCAAAATTTGCCCTTTTTCTTCCAAGCTATTTGGGATTGATTTCCACTGACATCAACTAGAGCTTTCATCCTAAAATCTTACTCCCGGCAGGCCTGAGCAGACCTTCCTAAAAGCCTAAGTCTCTCCTGGTCTCTAACCTTTCCCTAGACTTAAACATCTGATACTGGGAACCTGGGAAGAGGTTTAATGACCAGTAATCTTACAAAGCAGCAGAAGGGCCTCCGGGGAAGGAAGGCCTATCATCATTATCGGCTCCCCTGGGCTTTCTTCCCCAGCGTTAGCCACTATTCCCTTGTGCTTTTCAGATAGCTCTTGTCTAGGAAGCTTTCAAGCCTCTGCCCAAGCACCTTCTCACCTGATAGAAGGGAGGATTCACTCTGACATGGCCGTCTTCACTGCGTTGCTGTGCCAGGCGGAGGGAGGTGCTGGGGCCCGTGATGGCCTTTGCACCCGCCATCCTTATGGCAGATGGAAGGCGGAGGAGAAAATAGCAGCTCTCTTTTGTCCTCAGCCCATTGGACTGCCTCTGTGCGGGCTGGCCACCCAGTCTAAAACAGGAGGGGAGGAACTTCAGGAAAAGAACAGCGGCCTCCGGGATGTGGTGAATGCAAAGGTCCCAGTGAAACTACTTCCTTACATGGACCCTTAGGCCTCTCCGCTGTCCTTCCTAGATGAGAGAGCAGTATGCCTATGTGGCCTCCTGTGGATTAGCATCTTTAATTGGTTTAGGATTAGACGACCTCAATGCAGCTGGAACAGAATTCCCTGAGAGTGTGCGCGCCGCGGGAGGGTGCTGGAGGGGCTAGGTAACGAGGGGGAAGGCTGTGCGAGGGGGGGGGGGGGTAGGTCTGGGAAAATGCTTTGCAGAAAACAATACAAGCCCAGAAGAAAGTCTGCCAAGCGCACCTCCCTCCTCGCCGAAGCTTCTAGAACCAGAGCATGAATGAAGGCCTGCCCCGGGACTGCCCGCCTCCTCCCCCCTCTTCCCCCGGCGGATGTTGTGGGCGTCACCGGAAGTCGTGTGGCGGGGCGGAGCCTGCGGCGGCGCGCGGTGGGATCGACATGGCGACCGAGGGGGACGTGGAGCTGGAGTTGGAGACGGAGACCAGCGGCCCCGAGCGGCCTCCCGAGAAGCCACGGAAGCATGACAGTGGCGCGGCGGACCTGGAGAGGGTCACCGACTACGCGGAGGAGAAGGAGATCCAGAGCTCCAACCTGGAGACGGTGAGGCGGCCGGGAGCGGGGGGGCCCCGACAGTAACTGGAAGCCCCGCTCTGGGACCCGGTCACGATGCCGGTGGCGGGGGAGGCAGGAGGGAAGCCGAGCCGTCGCTAGACCCGCGGCTTGCGAAAAGGAGCTTGCTGGTGACTGGGTTAAAAGTGGGCTTCGGGAGCTCAGAATTGAATAAAATAGGCCTCCTGTTACACTCGCTCTCGTGAATAATACCCCTGCCTCGTATGTTAATGGATTTTTATATTAGGATTTGTGAGGAGCAGAGCAGTAACTAGGTTTGTCTTTCCTGTAGGCCATGTCCGTGATTGGAGACAGACGTTCCCGGGAGCAGAAAGCCAAACAAGAGCGGTAAGTCTTCGGTACTCAGCCAGCCCTGGAGTCCCTCCTTCCCCCAGCAGAAATAAAAACCATGAATAAGCCATGTAACTTGCACCGTTCTTCAATTCTATCACCAATTCCCTCCGATATAAAGTTTAAAACTTTACTCTTTTGTTGGTAGATGGAAAGGCCTCCTGGCAACACCTGCTGCCTGCCCCAAAGTCTCCTGGGAAGGGGGGTAATGTTATGTTAAGAGGGTGAAAGTCATTTTGTATTTCCACTGGACTGTTTATCAAGAGTCATTTATTGTAAGGACAACAGGGAATGTCCTTCATGGGAGTTTATGGTGGAGATAGAGGACTAATGCACATGAATATTTGTAGGGAGAAGGAACTGGCAAAAGTCACCATCAAGAAGGAAGATCTGGAGCTGATAGTGAGTAGTGATGCCTAACTAATGAATGGGCAGCAGAGGTTACCTTGCCTAGTTTGGATTGCTTCTTGAAACAAGTAGTATGTTTTGGTGGCACATTAATGCCAGAGAGGAAATATCCTTGATCCTTTTCCTGCAGATGACAGAGATGGAGATCTCGAGAGCAGCAGCAGAGCGGAGCTTGAGGGAACACATGGGCAACGTGGTAGAGGCTCTTATTGCCCTAACCAACTGATTTGTGCTTTCTCAGACCTATCCACTGGATTAACTTATTGCAATAAAGTTGTCTCTCTTTTTGTGCATTTTTATCATTTTGGATCAAATGAAAAATATGTTGGAGTATAACTGAATTTAAGTGATTTTTGCCCTCTCTCCCCTTAAGGAACCTATGTGAAGGATCATTGTAGAGGAGTATTTCATGTTCACATGCACATGCTAGATGGCAGGACAGGCTCATTCATCAGACTAGCTCTCTTTTATTTTTGTATTATTTTTAATTGATTTTAGAGAGAGGAAGGGATGGGGAGAGAAACAGCAACCAATTGATTCCTGTACAAACCCACAACCCGATATGGTGCCCTGAATGGGGAATTGAACCCCACGACCTTTGGGATAACATTTCAACCAACTGCAGCTATAAACACATTCTCAAAAGAATTCCAAGTTTATCCTTATTTTGGCTGTAGGATAATTCTAAGATTGTATTCCCCTCTGACACACACAACAGTGACTTATTCATCTTTAAAAAAAAATTTTTTTTAAAAAATTGATTTCAGAGAGGAAGGGAGACATAAAAACATCAATGAGAAAGTCATTGATTGGCTGCCTCCTGCACACACCGCTATTTGGGGGGGGAGGGGGGGAGGAGGTCTAGGCTGCAACCGAGGCATGTGCCCCGACTAGGAATGGAACCAGGGATCTTCTGTGATGGGATGACACCCAACCAACTGAACCACACTGGCCAGGGCTGCATTTGTAATTTTATTCTAGGACTTTCTAAGGATTTATGAGGGATTTCTTAAAGGGACATTTAAAGGATGTGAACAAACCCAGGCCGCCTTATTTTTTCATGCAATTGAGAAGTAGCCTTCCTGCTGGTTAAATGTCATTTCTGATAATCCCTAGAACTCCTTATGCTCTGCCATGTACATGGTAGTTATGTAGTATGTGTTAAGTGGGAAAATCATGAATTTAACTTGAGCACATTGTCACTACACTAACTCAGCACTGTGCCCTCCTTGATATATGAGCTGGGCAAAGAAGATACTGGTAGGGACTTGGGAGCCCCCATTTTATGGGTCAACTTTTGTTCTATAAACATAAGAAGGCAAGGACAACCATCTATGTATTTGCTCACAATAAACGGTGTCACTAAGAAAGTGTGAAACATCGTTTGCCTGACAATTTCCTGACTTTATTTTAGTTAACAGATAGATGCTCAGTAGCCTGCACATTATTTTCCAATATGAAGCTCAAAAAGTCATGTGATTCTTTTATTTATTGATATGTACATAAATGGATTTAAAAAGTACATTCACCTAGAAAAATTGACTCGAGCCAAAATGGTAAATCAGGTTTCAATGAGCTCAGGTTTCCTGTAAGGTAGAAGTGATGCACTGTCCATTTACATGACTATATTTCTGACCCAAGCTATGGGGCTGGGGGAAAAAAAAAAAAAACTTGAAACAGTCCCAAGTAAATTTGGGAAGCCAGAGCAATGATGAAAACGACGATTTCTCAGAAATAATTTTAAGTGGGGGTAATCCTACCTGGATAGTGCTGTTATGTGGGTTTCTCAGCATGAGTCCAAACCGCACAAAGCACCTTCCAAAACTGGGTTCCCCAGTGTCACAAGTATGGCAGTAGGGCCAACAGGCTGGATACACAGCCCATGTAAATAATAGTGAAAGCAAAGGACCAGACACTGAGACTTGCCCTTGTGTCCCACAGCTGAAGATAAGTAGTTGACCTTTAAGTAGTTTTTCGCTTCTTGGCAGATGGCCGTTCAAATACATCTCGTACCCCAGCTGCCTTTTGTTTAAAGAACTTTGTGTTCTGGGCACTCTCTTGGCCCCATGCTGAATCAAAGGAGGTGGTGTCCTGATCCACAAGGTGGGTATACTTGGTACGACCAGATCGCCCAAAGTTCTTGACCTGAGGGAAGGATAGGAGATGAGTTATACTAACATTATGTCCCAGCTCTCAATGTTACTTTTCTCTCATGTTAAGGTACTGCATACCTGCATGACTTTGGGAAGAATTGTTTTGTTGAAATGATCCTCCAGGGTTGGTGCGCTGAAATCTCTCTTGTATACTTCTTCATCCTCATCCTGTAGAAAAGAGTCTTTTTAATCTTGTGGTTTTATTTCCCATACATTCAAACCACAAATTTATTAAACTATGATGAGGGGTACAAAGAAAGCAGGAGGGATAAAACCTTCAAGAGCTTACATCTTGATATGACATTCCTTTCCCCCCTCATGCTGTTTTTTTCTTCCTAAGTGTATACATTTACTGAAGGTTGGCTATATTCTCTCAACTATATTCATTCACTCATATGACTAACTCTGTTACAAGCCTTTCAAATCTCTGATTCTGAATTTTTTGTAGATACAAAATAATTTCTATCTTTCTAAAAATAATTTTTTAAAAATTATATCTAGCCGAAACCGGTTTGGCTCAGTGGTAGAACGTCGGTCTGTGGACTGAAAGGTCCCGGGTTCGATTCCGGTCAAGGGCATGTACATTGGTTGCGGGCACATCCCCGGTGGCGGGTGTGCAGGAGGCAGCTGGTCGATGTTTTTCTCTCATCGACGTTTCAAGCTCTCTCTCTCTTCCCTTCCTCTCTGTGAAAAATCAATAAAATATATTTTAAAAAAAATTATATCTAATGCTATTCCAAATAATTTGGAATAAATCACCTTACATAGGATTTACAGGTTGATATTTTGATCTTGGTAAGATGATGGCATTATGCATAGTAGATAATTAACCACTTTTTTATTGGTTAGGCTTAGTAACTTTCTGTCAGCTCAGAATGAAGTGAATTAAACTGTTGCCATGCAAGTATGAGTTCATGTAAAGCTATTTGCAGAACCTATTTTATGCATAACCAAATTGCAAAAGTCAGTTATGAATAATATCTAAGTGATTTTGGTATATAAATAGTCTAGTATCTATATAGATTATCACCTCTCTATTTCAGTTCCTCAATTCTAACACATCATTTCCTTCTCCTGGGAGTTGGGGCTAAAAGAAAAAATAGTTGCTTCAACTTTTAAAATCCTTTTACCAATACTTTCCTCTGTTGGATTCATATTCTTCAGAGACTTAAAAAAGCAAATGAGAAAGCTGACCACTGGCAAGTGGAAGTAACATTCCAGAACCAGTTTATTCTTGAAGGGAAAATAGATTTCAAAGCGTCTGAGTTATTTGAGTTATTTCTATTGCCCAATTTTCTCTTTTCCCCTCTTACCATGAAGAAGGCACCCCGGTGATAATACTTCTGTAAGAACTTGTATTTGCCCTTCACAGCTTTGTTGGTAATAACTTTGCCATTTGCACGGAGCTCAGCTCGCCTCTCTTCCTCAGTCAGATTTCGCATGCGTTCAATTTCTGCTTTCTCCTTCTCAAGTCTGTCCAGAGAACAAACTTATTAGTATCATTCCAGCTTCAGAAAGACCTAATTATCAGATTATAACATAGCATTGTTCACCTTTTTTTTTGTTAATCCTCACCTGAGGATATTTTTCTCCATTGATTTTCAGAGAGAGTGAAAATGGAAGGAAAGAGAGAGAGAGAAAACATCGATGTGATAGAGACATCGATTGGGTGCTTCCCCCATGGAATTGAAACTTCGACCCTTTGGTGCTTGGGCCAACGCTCTAACCACTTAACCACAGTGGCCAGAGCATTCAACTTCTTAAAATTTTTTGTTACTTCTCACCCAAGGATATTTTTCCATTTATTTTTAGAGAGAGTATAGGGAGGGGAAGAGACATAGAGAAACATCAACGTGAGAAAAACACATCAATTGGTTGCCTCCCATACACACCCTTGACTAGGACTGGGAATCGAGCCTGCAACTGAGGTATGTGCTATTGACTTCAAACCCAGGACCCTTTAATCTGCAGGCCATACTCTAGGGCTATTCAGTTTTTTAAGAGAGGAAAGGAAGGAAAGAGAGAAACATCAGTTGCTTCCCATACACGCCCTGACTGGGATTGAACCAGAAACCTGGGTATGGGCCCTCACTGGGAATTGAATCCAAAACCCTTTGTTGCACAGGATGACACCTCAACCAACTGAGCCACACCAGCCAGGGCTATTCACCTTTTAAAATTCTCGTCATTGCCTGTTAGGAATCGAGTAGGGGTTCAAAAAATAAAAAGGCGAGGTGGTCTTCATTATGCTTGCAAGATCAGATATTATGAAGTGCCAAAAGTTGATTCTATTCCTTTTTTTGCGATTTAGACATACTGTTATTGCTTGATTTTTATAACATTACTAATTCCCCTACCCTAAAAAGCCTCTTAGCGTAAAAAAAAAAAATTAAAATCAGAATTTAAAATAACTGTGCAACACTTAATATGTGCTTACATGTCACAAACTAAAGATTATCATCATTAATTAGATTGTAGTGACCTTTGTGGGTGGGGAGAATCACAGATTCCCTTTCTCCATAAAAATGCAAAAATACACAAAATTTTGCAGGGTACCTGGACTCCATGACTCCATGAAGCACAAGATAAAAACCTTAGAAACTGCAGGCTGAGGATAGAATCTTCTGTTGATGGTTTCCCACTGTAATCTGGGATTGCTCTTTTAGTCCTAGTAATTTTCAGGAATGGGTATGCAGCTCAGAAATGATTCTGCTCTAACTTAGTGAGTGTATAGATTACTTAAGTGTCAAAAATTTCTTCCTCTCACAATATGCATGCCCCTTTGCAGAAATGATATGTGAGTCTCAAAAGATCTTGCCAACTTCCGCCTTTGTTCTCTTGAAATACTGCTGTAAGAGTGTTACATAAGGAAGCCAGCCTAGTCTAATGAAGAAGGAGAAGTGTGGCATCCTAGCTGATAGTCCACCCAATTACCAGACATGTGAGTGAAGCCATTCTGGACTTTCTGGCCTAGTTAATCCTTTAGCTGGATGCAATTACATAAGAGATCCCAGATGAAACTAGCAGAAGTACTGTTTGGCCAACCCTTAAAATTGTGAGAAATAATAGATTGCTTTGAGTTTCTTAATTTTGGATTGGGCTGTTATGCAACAATAATAACCGATAACAGTAAATAACTTTTGTGCATCTACTAGGAAAATAAAGAGATTATTAGTTGGCACTTTATCATGGAGAAACACTGACAAAAGTGTTCCTTTTCCTTGTTTTTATTCTAACAGCCACATTCCAATTATAGAAACTTACCCAGTTGCAGAGATCTTAAAGAAAGCTAGAATGGCCCTGACGGGTTTGACTCAGAGGATAAAGCATTGGCCTGTGGACTGAAAGGTCCCAAGTTCGATTCCAGTCAAAGGCATGTACCTTGGTTGTGGGCACATCCCCACTGGGAGGTGTGCAAGAGGCAGCTGATGGATGTTTCTCTCTCCTCGACATCTCTAACTCTCTATCCCTCTCCCTTCCTCTTTGAAAAAAGTTAAAAAAAAAAAAAAAAAAAAAAAAAAAAAAAAAAAAAAAGCTAGCTGAGACCTGTTTGGCTCAATGGATAGAGCGTCAGCTTGGGGACTGAAGGGCCCCGGGTTCGATTCCGGTCAAGGGCATGTACCTTAGTTGCAGGCATATCCCCAGTAGGGGGTGTGCAAGAGGCAGCTGATCGATGACTCTCTCTCATCGATGTTTCTAGCTCTCTATCTCTCTCCCTTTCTCTCTGTACAAAATCAATAAAATATATTTAAAAAAAAAAAAAAAAAAAAGCTAGAATGGAATCCCAAGTAGGTATTGAGCTTCAGTACTATTCTAGGGACCTGTGTCATTAGCAGTATTAAATTTTAGGATCAGTACTCACGCTTCTCGATCTTCTCTGTCCCTCTTGATTCTCTTTAGTTCCCGAACTTTCCAGGCCTCATATTCCTCCTCATCATTCTCATCGTCAGTATTCAGTGCATCCAGTGCAGCCAGGGACCGCTTGTTTTCCTCCAGCTCTTTTTTGGTCTCCTCTTCTACAATCTGGATAGGGAGAAAAATTCAACTGTCTGACTTCCTTATTCTTCTCAGACAAACCTAAGTACAACACTCTCCTTGCACTCAATCCTGACAGCCACTCCCAGTACCTTGAGTGTATACTTGCGCCTCTCCTCAGCCATGCGTTTAGCTTCCTGCTCCAGCTCCTTCTGTTTCAATGCTTCAGCCTCACGTTCTTGAACTGTTACTCGGTCCTTCCTGTGGTACAGAGGTCCTGTTAATTTCCCAAAGCTCTTAGAGTGAAGCTCTGTTCTTCTAAATCAAGTCCTGTCCAAATCAGACAAAGCCAAACAATTTCTGGCTCTATTATTTGCAAAGAGCAAAAAATGGGAGTCATACCAGGTTTTCAGAGCATCAAAACTCCATCTTTGAGAACTGCCTGAATAGCAAAGAACCTGACAGACTGTAAGTAGTAGGATTTCTAGCCATGAGGAAAAGAATAGGAATTTGCTCTTAAAGCTTAATTTTGTGCTTAAAATTATATAAGCTCTTGGGCAGCTATGTACCCTTTAACAGAGTATATACCTGAGAAGGAGATGTGAAAACAAACTCATACTCTGCAAACACCAAGATATTCCTCAGCAAATCCCACACAGAGCTAGGGCACTGGGCAGAAGGCTTTCCCTAAGTGCTTCCATTACAGAAGAGCATAGGAGAGAGGCTTCTCTCTTCAGACCTAGAAAGTGGAAACTTGTGGGTTCAGGACCGGTTTGTGAGATACTTACTTTCGAATGAAGACCGGCTTAAGGCGAGGCTCCATCTCATCTTCACTGTCTGTGTACTCTTCATACTCAGACTCTGACTCTGACTCCTCCCCAGAACGCCCCTCATCTTCCACTTCCATGACTTCCATCTCTTCATTTTTTCTCTCCTGTGCTCGCTGACGCATCATGCCACGGCGCCGCTCTATTTCCTATCAAGTCATATGTCCGAGTCAGTAAGCCAAGTGGCCTGTGGCTGTTTATTTTCCCCTCATCAAGCTCAACAAATTGTGATTTGAGTAAATGCAACTTATCAGTAGTATATTTTTAATTCTATCCCCAACTGAGAATCCTGGATCAGAATTCTGCCAAAAGCAGCAATCTTGTGCCTTCAGAGCCTCAACAAAGGAGCATAGGCCCCAACTATTTCTTGTACCCAGAAGAACTTCCCATTTTACTCTACCATACCTCATCATCAATTTCTTCCTCCTCCTCCTCACTGCTATCTTCTCGTTCCATGCGCCAAGCATCTCCTTCTACTTCTGAGTCACTTTCTCCTACCACTTCAGGTTCCACTATTTTCCGATGTCGAGCCAATCTGAAAAACAGCATCTGCAAGTGTAGCGTCAATGCTGTAAGAACACAGGGGCTCCACCACTTTTCTTTAGTCACAGAGCACCTGGACATTGCTGCTTTTATTAATACTGAAGTCTTGAGATGGGCAAACTGAAGTGCCCATTAAAGAAACTAGTGTCAGACAAAGAGTCAAGTTGGACCTAAAACATTAAATGTATGAGGCATTCTAGGGCACTGCAACAAACTTATATAGGCGCACTGGGCTATATATACATATACATACACACACGCACACACATATATGTATGCACACATGCACATACCTGTGTGTGTGTGTGAATCCCCTTATTACTTCCATTGACTCCTTATAGCCAGCCCCAGCCCTCCACCCCCACCACCCAATATCTGTCAGGATATATTTTAAAGCTCAAAGTAGTTCACAGTTTCAACATTAGATCAAATTGTTTCCTTTCAATGACATCTTTGTGAAAATAGGATTTTGATCACTACTGTGACAAAAAGCAAGTACCACATGAAAATCAATATGGAACAGAAAATGAGAGTGATTACACCAAGCTGATTCTAAGGTTTGAGAGGTTGCCAGTCCAATGGGCACATAAATCCTAGTAGTAACTGTGGTTCTGTAAAATGAAGTAAAAACTAGTTTTCTTTTATGTGTATTACTAGGAGCCCAGCACATGATTTGAAATCGTGTGGCGCCGCCCACCCTCCAGTCACCAGTCCGGCCCTGCCTCCCTCTCCGGCCCTTGAAGCAGTGTGGCCGCTGCTGATCAGGTCCTCCCCGAGCGCAGGGGTGAGAAGGTCCCTGCCGACCCGCCCTACCTGCTCGCACAACCTTCTCCTGTCCGGTCAACCCATTACGCCGTCCTGATTAATTAGCATATTTCTCTATTTTGTGTGTGTGTGTGTGTGTGTGTGTGTGTGTGTGTGTGTATAAATTTTTTTTCAAATGGCCAAGTTATTAGGACTTAAGTATGTATTAAATTTTTGGATCTAACTAAATAAACAGACATAAAATAAAATAAACATCCACTGGTTGCCTCCCTGGGTGTAGGGGTTCTATGAAAAACTTCCTGAGGCAATATGAGCTGTGAAAGTTCAGGACCTTGACCTACGCTGTAAAGTAATGTCTCAGTCAACACACAACATACAAAATCCCTGTTGGGAGGCTCTCTTTCCTACATGAGACCATTCATCAGATCATTTTTCTTATTTCAATGTCATTTCCTCTCATTAGCCTTTAGAATAAGTGGATAAAATAAACATCTCAACTTTTTTATAAAACATCTTTATGTTAAAAAAAAGATGTATTTTGTTTTGTGTGTGTGTGTTTTTTTTTTTTGTTTGTTTTTTTTTTAACACAAAAGGATGTTTTGTTTTGTTTTTCCACCTCAATAAACCAACCAATGTTCTGTGTTTTCTATTCCCTTAATGAGTTAACTTGGGCCTTTGGAACAGAGGTAAGCTGCTGTTTACTGGCTGCCACTCAATGGTTGTATGTCTTTGATCATTTTCCTAAACCCTTTGTACCTCTGTTTCCTCATTTGTAAAATGGATATAACAATAAGGTAATTGTGTGGATTATAAGAATTAGTAAATGTAATGTACTTGAAACAGTTTCTGGTACTTGGAACAGTTCCTGGCACATAGTAATTATTATTCAAGGATAAGCTATTATGATTGTTGTTATTAACTTGTTGCAGTCCAGTGAAACATAACCTGGCTGTTACCTCTCTTCCACATCTTCACTAATGCGGTTCTGCAAACGTCGCAGTCGAGGGTCGCTAGATGAATCCTCCTCCTGCTCCTCAGGCTCTGCTTCTTGTTCTTTGGCTTTCTTAATGAACTGAAATTCTTCATCCTCCTCATCGGAGGACTCCATAGGAGCATAGTCTGGCCTCTTTCCTGATACATAACGTTTCACCTTCACTTTCTCCATGGAAATTTCACCTGGGTGAAAAAGAGAACTTAGGTTTCAGTAGCCTCTTTCCCAATGTCCTTCAACCACTGGCCTTTGAAGGTAAACTTATGTTACTTGTAAATAAGAGCATAGGAAGGAGAAGATGAGAGCCACTACCCAACCATCTATTCATCTGATGGTTTTTTCTTCCAAAAGCCAAGTCATGGGAAGGCCTTCTTGTGATTACCAACACTAATGATAACCAGGCCCAGCTTGGGTACAATGAAGTAGAGGAAGGTGAGCAGTGAAAAAATTGACAAAGTCTCTCCAAGCTGGCAGGCTATGACCATCACAAATGGATGCTAGTCTACCTCAACTATACCTTTTTATAAATTATTCGTAACAGTGCCTAACACACAGTAAAGGTAGCTTAAGTGGGAACATAAAATGCTGCTCAGTCATCTTCTTTTAGTTCTGCTAGGATTTTCCATGACAGCCTTCATAATATATTCCCACATAACTAAATTTTCTAATGTTATCTATTTCTACCTTCTTTTCCCTTCTGAACTATTAAGCCTGCAGTAGATTTTCTCTTTTACCAATACCAACAATTCTAGTAAACAGAAAGAGTGAAAACTAACCAACATATTTTATAAGGTGAAAATAAGCTCGGCAGCCAAACTGGACAGTTCAAAAAGGATTTATTTATGATCATAGATACTAAAATACTAAATAATATAATAGCAAAGGTATTCCAGCAATTTTTGTAAAAAGCAACAAAACAAAACTCTAAGCCTTTGTGACCTAAAAGGATTCAGCCTAAGACTACAACGGATGACTTAATCTTAGAAAATTAATGGGGGGAAAGTATTATACAATTTAAAATTTTATGTTTAATTTTAATATATAATTTATTATTACTTTTTGATAATCCTCACCCGAAAATATTTTTTCCATTGCTTTTCAGAGATAGTGAAAGGAAGAGGAGGAGGGGGAGGTTAGAGATAGATAAACATTGATGAGAGAGAAACACATCCACTGGTTGCCTCCTTGGGGACGGGGAGCAGGTACCTACTCAGGTACCTGCCTTCGAGTAGGCCTCAAACCTGGGACCCTTTGGTGCATGGCTGATGCTCTAACCATTAAGCGACACCAGCCAGGGCTAAAGTTTACATATTTAAAGAGCCATAATCTTAACAATAGATACAGCAAACATTATACTTAATAAAATAATAAAATATTGAAGCATTCTAAAAAACTTTGGGCATTTCTATGTTGTCAATATTACTCCTTCTAGACTGGTTGGCATGGCTCAATGTTGAGCACTGATCTAGGAACCAGGAGGTCACAGTTCAATTCCTTGTCAGGGCACATGCCCGGGTTGTAAAGTTGATGTAGGATCCTACCTATACATAAATTTTGTGCACTGGGCCTCTAGTCCTATATCCTAATCCTATATAATAAAGATATAATATGCAAATGGTCATTATGCCATAAAGTGTAATGACGAACCACATAATGATCAGATTATGGATCAGCAGGAGGGTGGGGCAGCGAGCTACAAGCAGGCAATGAGAGCTACAGGAGAGGGTAGGGCAGCAAGCTATGAGGGGGGAAAGAGGGAGCTATAGGAGGGTGGGACCATGGGTGGAGAGCTACTGGAGGGCAGCAGCAAGCTACTGGTGCACAGATTCGTGCGCAGGGCTACCAGTATAGTATAGAATTCCAAATATATAACATTCTGGAAAAAGAAAAATTATGAAGACAAAAGATCTGTGGTTGTCAGTAGTTGACTGTGGAGGAGGGATGAATAGGCAGAGCACAGAGGATTTTTTAGGGCAGTGAAAATACTGTGTACAACACCATAGTAATGGTTATGTCATTATACATTATTCCAAACCCATTGCATGTACAACACCAAGAGTGAATCTTTTTAAAAAAATTTTTTTTTGATTTCAGAGAGAGTGAGATAGAAACATCAATGATGAGAATCACTGATGGTCTGCCTCCTGCATGCCCCCTATTGGGATAGAGCCCACAACCCAGTCATGTGCTCTTGCCCTTGACTGGAATCGATCCTGGGACCTTTCAGTGCCAAAGGTTGACATTCTATCCACTGAGCCAAACCAGGTAGAGTGAATCTTAATGTAAACTATGGACTTTGGGTGATTATGACATATCAGTGTAAGTTCATCAATTGTAACAAATGTATTATTCTGGTGGGAGAGACTATGCATGTGTTGGGGAAGGCTTTCTTTCCCCCAATTTTGCTGTGAACATAAAATAGCTCTAAAAAAATAAAGTCTTAACTAAAAATGGAAGAATAGCCCAGCTGGAATGGCTCAGTAGTTGAGTATGGACCTATGAACCAAGAGGTCACAGTATGATTCCTGGTCAGGGCATATGCCATCCCCAGTAGGGGGTGTGCAGGAGGCAGCCAATCAATGATTCTCTCTCATCACTGATAATTCTCTCTCTCCCTCTCCTTTCCCTTCTGAAATCAATAAAAATGTTTTTTGTTTTGTATTGTTTTGTTTTAAAGAAAGTAAGGTGGGGGTGGGAAAGGTTTTTATATAAATTGCAAGAAACGTTTAATGTTAGATTTTTAAAAAATATATTTTATTGATATTTTACAGAGATGAGGAAGGGAGAGAGACAGAGAGCTAGAAACGTCGATGAGAGGGAAACATCGACCAGCTGTCTCTTGCACACCCCCTACCGGGGATGTGCCCGCAACCAACGTACATGCCCTAGACTGGAATCGAACCTGGGACCCTTCAGTCCGCAGACCGACGCTCTACGACTGAGCCAACCGGTTTTGGCAAATTGCAAGAAACATTTAAATTTAAAATAATTAAAACAATGTCAGCCTGGCTGGCATGGCTCAATGGTTGAGCACTGACCTATGAACCAGGAGGTCAGGTTCGATTCCAGTCAAGGGCACATGCCCAGGTTGCAGGCTCGATCCCCAGTGTGGGGTGTGCAGGAGGCAGCTGATCAATGATTTCTCCCATCACTGATGTGTCTGTCTCTCTCTCTCTCTCTCTCTCTCTCTCTCTCTCTCTCTCTCTCTCAATCTCTCAATCTCTCAATCTCTCTATCTCTCTATCTCTCTATCTATCTCTATCTCTATCTCTCTCTCTTCCTATCTGAAATCAATAAATATATTTAAAACGGAAACAAAAACACACACAAAAAACATGTCATTGACTTAGAAGGTACATAGAGACCAATGGAACAGAGAAGAAGATAAAGAAACTTAAATGAGACCTTGGTATATTAGAGACGTGACATTAACAAGCAATGGAGCCCTGGCCCATGTGGCTCAGTTGGTTGGAGTGTTGTCCTGTGCATTGAAGGGTCACGGGTTCAATTCCCGGTCAGGGAACATATATGAGTTTCGAATTCAGTACCTGGTTGATGTTTCTCTCTCACACTGATGTTTCTGTTTCTCTCTCTCTCCCCCTCTCCCCCTCCTCTCAAAAAAAAAAAAAAAAAAATCAATGAACACATATTTTCAGGTGAGAATAATAATAATAATAATAAAAAAAGCATTGGATTGGGTAGTCACACAATGGATTAGGGACTACTGGCTGTCAGATATACAGTAAAATTAGATCTCTGACACCCACACACACAATATTCTGGATGGATTAAAGATCTAAGTGTGAAAAACCTATATTAAATATATACATCCCTATTAGACTGTAGGCTCCTTAAAACTTAAGAGTCTGTATTGCAAAATTGTGTATTCAATACTACTTAGAATATGCAAACACTAAGATGACAGATAATCTGCCCATTCAGAGGTTGAGCATCGACCCATTAACCAAGAGGTCACCTGTTGATTCCTAGTCAGGGCACATGCCCAGGTTCCAAGCTCGATCCCCAGGAGGGAGTGTGCAAGAGGTAGGTGATTGATGTTTCTCTGTCATTGATATTTCTCTATCTCTCCTTTCCCCTTCCCTAAAACCAATAAAAATGTTTTTTAAAAAGGTGATAAAAAATCTTTGTAATTTTCATATCTATGACCTTAAGGTAGGAAATGATTTCTTAATATACTGAACAGAACCATAAAAGATAAAATTGATAAATCTGGTAACACTAAAATTACAAACACCTGTGTAACAAAAGACTAAAGTTTCAAGACAAGCCAAAACCAAAACAAAACACGGGAAATACTATTTGGGAAGTAAAAAACAAACCAAGTAGAAAATGAGTAAATGACAGAACTAGGTAATTCATAGAAAAAAAAATCTAGAGCTGAAAAATGTATGAACAAGATGTCTAGTCTCACTAATAATCAGGGAATTGCAAATTAAACTAGTAAGATATTTCACACATTCATTAGATTGAGCAAAAATTTTAAACTTTGAGCTGGGACCAGTTTGGCTCAGTGGATAGAGCGTCAGCCTGCGGACTGAAAGGTCCTGGGTTCGATTACGGTCAAGGGCATGTACCTTGGTTGCGGGCACATCTCCAGTAGGGGGTGTGCAAGAGGCAGCTGATCGATGATTCTCTCTCATCAATGCTTCTAACTCTCTATCCCTCTCTCTTCCTCTCTGTGAAAAATCAATAAAATATATTAAAAAAAATTTTTTTTAAACTTTGATAAAATCAAATGTGTGGGGATGAGCTCCTCATGCTCTCACAACCCACTGTGGAGAACAGAACAAGTGGTAATAGGTAGTTAAGTTGATGAATTTGTAGGAGTCTACCCTAGAGAATTCTTACACAGGTGCACTACAGAGGTATGTTTAAGAGTGATAATTGCAACACTGTAATAGGAGAAAAAAACAACAAAATTGCCAGTAGGACATAAACTGGTATAAGTATACAATGGAATTCACAAACCCGGTTAAAAATGAATGAATTAGATCTATATATCCAAAATATACTTCTCAAAAGCCATGTTTAGTTTTTTTGTTTTTTTTTTTTTAAAAAAGGCAAGTTACACCACAGATAATAAATACAAAAGAATTCTTATTTTCCAAAAATCCTTATTGAAAAACTGACTCTCTGATTCCCCAAATAGATCACATATTTCTTCTGCCATCTGCACTCATTAGAATCCTACCCATCCTTTAATGGTCAAAGTAAATGCCATTTTCTTCAAGAAGCTTTCGATTACTCCAATCTGAAGAAATTATTCCTTCTCTGCTCTCACAGGGCTTGGTATCACCTATGTGACAGATATCACAGGTCTGAAAGATCTCTTTTTTTGAATGTCCCAAATCTACTCGACTATGAGTTCCTTAAGGTTAGGGGAACTATCTTACACAAGTTTGCATTCATTTTGAATTTTTATCGATTGAGTTTATTTTAAAAAATTAAAAAGTTTATTGCTTTTAGAGAGAGAGGGAGCGGGAGGGGAAGGACGAGGGGGAGAAAGACGGAGAAAATCAGAGACAGAGCTGGACATTGCTTTGTTATTCCACTTATGTGTGCCCTAACCGGGACTGAACCCGCAATCAAGGCGCAACTAACCACTGAACGACCCGGCCAGGACTGCAACTTTGTATTCAATTTAATAAATACAGTCATTGCTTTTGTTTAAAGTTTAAAAAGTTTAATAAGACATGGTTCCTGCCTCAAGGAGATTATGAGTGTATGATGTAGAATTGGGAAACAGACACATAAATAATTATGATGAGCTATAAAAGCACTTCAGAGTGTTATGGATAACGATAGAGGGATTATATCCCGCATACAGCCTTGAAAACAGTAGGCATTCTCGAAACCGGATTGGCTCAGCGGTAGAGCGTCGGTTTGCGGCCTGAAAGGTCCCAGGTTCAATTCCCGACAAGGGCATGTACATTGGTTGCGGGCACATCCCCAGTAGGAGGTGTGCAAGAGGCAGCTGGTCGATGTTTCTCTCTCATCGACGTTTCTAGCTCTCTATCTCTCTCCCTTCCTCTCTGTAAAAAAATCAATAAAATATATTTAAAAAACAAAACAAAACAAAACAACACAGTAGGTATTCACTTTGTACTAATCCATGACATTGGTGGAGACCAAAGAAAGAGGGATGCTTGTCGCAATTAAGGGCAGTCAACATAGAGAAACAAGAAGATGGAAGTATTTTCCCCAAGGCAACGCAATAGGGTGCGAGTTTGATGGGGGAAAGTCGAAGACATAGGGGGTTAGGTCTTAAGGGTCTGGGGGTTGGGAGGGGGTGAGGGGTGGGCCCGGAGGAGGGTTGGAGTGTTGCTGGGGAAGGAAGGGGAAGATCCGATTGGAAAACGGCTCCGCACAGTACCTTTCTCATTGCGAACCGGGACGGCCCCAGCCGTGGACTGAATGGGCGGCTGCTTCATGAGTGCGCTTGGGACCGACATGTTCATGGCGGCGGCAGTGCTCCGGACGCTTCCCTGATTCCAGACAGTAAACAGCTACCAACGGCAACACAAAAATCCTCTCCTACTAGAGGCCCGGGATGTTGCACTGCGGCTGACGGAAACACCGCTTAAGGCGGGGCTAGAGAAACCGGAAGTGTGTCACAGGGGATTGTGGGATTGTGGAGGACTTCCGGGCCGCCTACGGCTAGAACCGGAGCCTGTTATTGCGCATGTGCAGAGTCAGCCTATCGTCTTCGGCCTCGCAGTGTTTGGACGTGACTTCTGGCGGGAAATTGTTTCCATTGAGGTTTGCTGTTCCCTTGCGGCGAGGATGATCAGAATTAAAGGTTTCGTTTGTTACCTTGGTTTGAAACGGAGGAAAATGGGATAGTGACAAATAAGAAACTTTGAAGATAGGGAAGGGCAGTTTGAGCAGACGGTTGAGAGCCCAGAATTAGCGTTTAATTGGGATAGAAATCCTGCTAATCGAACCTGATGCCTGAAATCTGAACACTCTACTTTTAGGTTTTCCAGTTCAAGTTTTTGGAGACTGCCTATGAAAACAGTCCTGGTTGGAAAGTGTTTGTATAGAAGCCCATAACTATTAAATATTTGCTGTGTTTACCATGCTTAGCTCTCTGTAAGGAATATGGAATAATGTTAAATGCCTCATGTTCTCAAGAAGCTTTTAAAATAAAATATTTTTATTTTAAAATAAAAATAAAGAATCATAAATATTAAAAATAAAGAAAGAAGCTTGAGTTTTATTCAGAAAGTCTTCAAGGGCTTATGGAATTATAACAGAAGCAATTGCAGTTCACTGGCTGTTGTGTAAAACACATTGGCTAATTGTAAGTCAGAACATTTCACCGTAGAATGGTTTTTACAAATGCTGTGGTGGGGAGAGAAGGGACAGCATGAACAAGTCTCAAGGTCCAGAAATGACATGGTATAATACATCAGACACTATGAAAAGTTTCATTTTAGCAGTAAATTTTGAGTCAAGGAGCAGTGAAAGTTTGACAGCTGTGCAGGTGCTGTTAACAGGATTATTTCACCTGCATTTTATGATTGGGCTGGCTGTGAGAAGGAATAAAATTGGGCAAGTCTACAGTAAGGAACAGGGGAGGACCCCAGTAACCAAGGGAGCAGTTTTGGATTGAAAGAAAAAGACCTTAATTTTATAAGATGAATTGATCAGCTCTAAAACTAGGCTGTCCAAAGGAAGTAATTTGTTGGGAGGCAATTGTTTTGGCTCATGGCAACCCAGAGAACAGGAAAAAAATTAATATGGCTATATTTAGCTTTGTGCAGTGGCAGTATCATAGCCAATAAGGTTTATTGGAGGCACGATTATTACTAATTGAAGAAAAAATAAAATGGCTATCTAAAAGAAATGCTGTGCACTAAGATCTGAGGTTATTTTGTGATACACAGATTACTCAATCCACTTTTCTCCAACCTTTAGGCTCTGTAAGGCCATCATTAGTCTTTAAGTTAACTGGTGGGCAGATGAGCTGGTGAAATTTAAACCAGCTGAAAGTTCTCAGCTTTTGGGGGTGGGGTGGGAGTAGGAAATCAAAATGCTTCCCTTCCTAGGAAGAAGACAATACGGTAGCCTTATGGCATACTATACTAGTGGAGGGGTTACAAGCAATAGGGGACTCGAGGTAAAGGGTGAACGTTGCTTTCAATTTCTTTTCCTCTCTATTTCTGAGGGGATCTAAGTGAGTCTGAATCCCTTTCAGGCTCACATTTCAAGGCAAGATAGTTTTTCCTCTGCAAAAATGCCAGTGTTTTCAAAGCGAGGTCCTGGCACCTGCAGCGTCAAAATCACCAGGATCCAAGGTAAAAATGTTCTTTCTATCCCACTGCATCTTTAAGGTACAGTGAGTGGAACCTCGTTTCTCGAACTTAATTCATTCCTGAAGGCTGTTGGAGAAGCGATTTGTTCGAAAACTGAATCATTTTTCTCCCCCTTAGAAATAATATAAATGGAATTAATCCATTACAGGCCCCCAAATTATTCTGTTTCAACCTTTCTTATATACATGTTAATGCACTGTTTAATCTATAAACAAACACTTATTTTCTTAAATTTATTGAACCATCCCCTACTAGTCTTAAAGGAATTTTTCATATATCACTGCCTCCAAAATGCTATCTATCACCAGCTGCTTTTTCTTATCCAATCAGCAACAGTGTTTTGTTTTGTTTTGTTTAACCTGTGCTCCATTGCCTGTGATTGCTGTTTTGTGTGCAGATGGCTTCTTTCTGTTTTAAACTTGTGCTAATGGAAAGCAACAAAAGCATGGCCTGCAAAATGCTTTTTGTCATGCTGAGATATCAGCATGAAAGGATTGACGGATCGAAAAACGAAAAAGAAAAAAAAAGAAAGAAAAGTTTTGGTCAACAACAGGGACATTTTTTTTTTCTCTTTCTACCTCTCCTCCCCTCCCCTTCTGGGAGCAATTAGAACCCCATTGTTGGAGATGGGAGAGGGAGGTTTGGCTGGACTTGAATTTGGGTGAAACTAGGGAGCCTGCTTCTTTAAGAGACTGCAGTACCCGCCCGCGGCGCCGCCCCCGCCCCGCCCGCCGCCCCCGCCCATATTGGCGGGAAGACGCCGGCCGAGCGGAGGCACGATGTCCGCGGAGAAGGCGGGCTGCGCACGGCCGCTCCGGGCGGAGGTGAGACTGGCTCCGGGTGTCGCTGCCGCAGTTTTCGGGGGAGTCTGTGCTTGCGGGGAGGGGCGGCACGGGGCCCCAAACAGTTTCCCACCTCTGCGCCTCTGGTAGCGTAGCGGGCTTTCCCCGGGTTCCTTCCGAAGAGAAGCCCCTGTCAAACCTCCGAGGGAGGGGAAGGGAGGGGAGGGTGAGGGGGAGACATCAACCCAAGGACTTGTGTGCATGCCTATGAGCCTAACCAGTGGCCAAGGACAGCAGGGGGGGGGGGCATACGTGGGGAAGGGTTTGCGATGGGGATGGGGGGAAGATGAGCACAATTATGTGATACCATAATCAATAAAGAAATTTAAAAAAATTATGCTAGCCAAAAACGGGTTGGCTCAGTGGATAGAGCATCAGACTGCAGACTGAAAGGTCCCAGGTTCGATTCCCGTCAAGGGCATGTACCTTGGTTGCAGGCACATCCCCAGTAGGTGGTGTGCTGGTCCATGTTCCTCTCTCATCGATGTTTCTAGCTCTCTATCCTTTTCCCTTCCTCTCTGTAAAAAATCAATAAAATATATTTTAAAAAAATTATGCTAAAACCAGTCCGGTAATTGGGGCCATTCCAGGAGGTTGTAATACCAGGATTTGGAGTTGTTGATTCCATAATTCAAGATCTCAGCTCTGTTTATTCAAATAGACTTGCAGAATCTGAATTTCTTCTTTAAAAAATAACTTTATTAAGGTATCTTTTACATATAGGAATTACATATATTTACAGTGTACAATGTGATGTTGATGTCTATATAACATTGAAAAGACACCATAATTAAGCTAAAATATTATGTCATCTCTACATAGTGACTTGTCTGTATGTATGTGTTTTGAGGAGATTTAATATCTATCATCTTAGAAAACTTCAGGTATATAATAGAGTGTTGTGAATTATTGTCATTATGCTATACTTCAGCTCTCCAGAATTTATTCATCACACATAAGTAAACTTTTGTATCCTGTGACCAATATCTTCTTATTTCTCCCACTCCCCAGTCTATGGCAACCATCATCCTACTGTCTGATTTTGAGTTTGATGTTTTTAAATTCCAAATATAAGTGAGGTCATGCAGTAAAAACAAAACAAAACAAAAAACAAAAAACAACCCCCCAAAAAACAAAACAAATACAAAGGAGAAGCCCGATCCCTGTTCTGGTTTTCTTTCTTAAAAAAAAAAATAAAAAAAAAATATTTTTTACAGAGAGAAAGGGAGAGGGATAGAGAGTTAGAAACATCAATGAGAGAGAATCACCAATTAGCTGCCTCCTGCACACCCCCCACCAGGGATGTGCCTGCAACCAAGGTACATGCCCTTGAGGGGAATCGAACCTGGGACCCCTCAGGTTGCAAGCAGAGGCTCTATCCACTGAGCCAAACCGGTCAGTGGATATCTGGTTTTCTTTTATGGAGTCTATTCCTTTGGGGCAGAGAAAGGTTCTTTTGAACCCCAGACATAGTGGCAGGATGGGATCAGGGACTCTACATTTGCTTGTGCAGCAGTTGTCAGTTTCTCACTCTTGAACAATTCCATTTACTCAGGAGCTGGCAGTTGGGGTAGACTTCTCAGTTACAAATTATAGCCATGACGGTATTATCATTGGTCTGGTAGACTCATGTGAGCAAGAAATGTGTCCAGTATAATAAATAATTCTATTTGGGTTAATAAATTTGGTGTCTAGATTTGGGATGGAAAAAGTTACAGATTTATCAATTTGGATTTATGTTGTTATTATGAAATAGGAATTAGATTTGTTTGCATTGATCTGTAAGCAAAGGTAAAGGACCTGGGTTTCTAATACTCTTTTTTTTTTTTGGTCTGAATAGGTGAATGAATATAAAGAAAACCAGAACATCTCTTACATATCTCAGAGACGAGTTTTAGAAAAAACAGCTAAGGTGTGCCTTGTCCCCTTTTCACTCAGTGATTACAAGCCAGGTGAATTTAAGCTCCCCAGGTCCCTGTTAGATAATTCTAACAACGAAGTGGCATGTAAGAAATATAAGAAGGCTGAAATAAAGAAAACTTACAGAGAGATTTTAACTCCAAAGATGAAAGCCACTGCATCTTCTAAGACAGAATCCACTTTGCAAAAATCATCCTGGGATGTTCACACAGAAAATCACAAACAACACATGAGCACTTCGGATACAGTGCTTCTCAGCGTTGGGATGGAAGGCAGTCTGGATGGAGACAGCGATGAAGATACATCAGGCCAGGTAAGAGTTTAATTCCTGTTTACCCAAATTTTCTTATTTTAAAAATAGAAGTTCTGATAATCACC